TTTAAGCAGCTTTTCGTTTTGTTCTATCAATGTACAATTAAGTATTTTGTGAACTACTTCATTTTCTATTCAAACATCTTTAGTTGTTTACTAGTAGTATTTGGACTAGTGAGATTTCAGGCAGGAGCTTTTAGTCTTAAATTAGTATTGTTCGTTTCCTGTTTCTAGTTCGATGTTTCACTGAATGGTTCCTACACACACATACTCATTAGCATATATTTCAGTTGAATGATGAAGTGTGTGTTTGGCTGTTCTTTCAGCGAGTAGTGCACATTACTTGAAATGACACCCTGTCAACTGACAGTTGTGATAATATTTAATTACCCACTTTACGCTCTAATGCATGTATGCAAGTGGCAGCTTGAAAATTATATGCAGGCAATTACACACACGCATATGTGATTGTCCGTAGAGGGAAAGGAAGTGGGAGAACCTTAAAATATATATGTTAATTTTTAGGAAATTTCACTATTAAAATGTATGCACTAAATAATATACATATTAGAGTGGGTCAAAAAAAAAAACGAATGTTATTTTTAGCTTGGTACTCTGAAAAACTAGTTGATAGACACCTCTAAAAAAGTCTCTCCGAGTATGAGCTCTTAATTGTAACGAGAAAGTCTTCCGCTTTGCAGTTTTTTATTTTTTTCTTATTATGAGATAGAAAATTCATATCTCTCTTCTAACTACTTGAAGATTTTGTAGGAATTGAATGGTCTTTAAAAAAGGTTTACTACGATTTTTTCGTAAACCTGACCGTTTAAAAGATATTAACGGTTGAAGTTTGACTATTTTAGAGCAAATTTGTTTTTATAACTTATTATTATATTTTTATAAATTGCAAATTTCATTTTCATTTTAAATTCTATAATATTGTATAAAATTTACTGCTGTACAAAAATGGTCTGTAGAAATTTTCGATTAACTGACGAGTTGTTCATCGTCAAACAGCAATGCATATCAAGAAAAAGAAAGAGACCACAATGAAGTCCAAATGTCATCAAAATTTCCCGAAAACTTGTGCTTTTGATATGTTTTTACGCTTTTAGTATATGGAATCTTTGTAATATCGATTTTTTTGCTTTTTTATGACGGTCACCAAACCACTTTGATTGGTATAATGAGATTCGTCGGCCCGTTGATATCTGGTAGATATTGGTTTGCTTCACTAGAAAATGGTCAGATTTGTGCGCATTAAGAAGAGGTTAAGATTCGGGATTATAAACAGCTAGTACTACAAATAAATGTCCTAGTTTCCTAACTATATTATCATAGTTCCTAATTAGAAAATAGTAGCAAAGTTGGCTTACTGAGGCTTTCTATATGAAGCGACGATTCTGGAAGTTTAGAATGCATTCACGCTTGGTATATTTTATCTTTATTAGTTCTTAAATTTTATGTTATTGACAATTTGAAAAAAATTCGGCACACGCATGTCCTCTTATGGAGAACATCATGTCGGTCTAAAAAGTAAACAAATGGGAGTACAATTAAAGTCACATGACATCGCTGAACTATTGGGAGACTTTTTTCATGATATGATTCGGTCTTCAAATGTTCTTATTAAAATGATGATTTTAGGCGGTCATTGAATGTGACTTTGATTTTATGAAAATTGTGGAAAAATAATGCTTTGATCATCCAAGTAGCAACTCATTGCTGAAAATGATTTGATGAAATGAAAATTTACCGAACTGTAGTGCAGTAACTTCCAGGCAGAAGTTTTTGCAGTCAGGAAAGCTACTGAGATAGCTAACAGTGCAGGAAACGACATAAAGAATAACAATATATACGCCGAAAGCCAAGCGGCAATTATAGCAAAAATCTTACATCGCATTGTGTCAGAGAATGTCCTTAGAAGCAGGGAGGCAGTAGATGTAGCGAAAAGCGGATGCATATATAGTAGTGAAGTTCCAGGCCACAAGAGCGTTCCGAAAAACGAAACAGCTGGTGAGATTGCCAAAAGTGCCATCCGTTGGACTACCAAACCTATTCAGAAAATACGCAAGTCACTGAAAACGATAAACAACGAAATTTCCAAAAGGGCTTATAAACGGATCAGGGTGAGAAGGACTGCCTTAAGAGCCTGCAGTATCGCTAAGATCATGTGAAAGGGAGCGGAAGAAAAACACACAAGCTTTCTACTCACACGGTCTCGAAAAGACTGCAGGAGGGAAGTAGGCATGAGAGAGACGCTGGAACACCTCCACTGCTTATGTCCGGCCTTATCTAAAACTCCGCTTAGATATCTAAGAGCTTCGCAATTCAAGAGGCTGGATGAAGTTTCAGGAGTAGATATCAAGTCTCTATTAAACTTGATAAAAATTAAAGTTCAGGTCGTATTAATAATGAACCTCCGTCTGGCATTACAAAGAACCCGTAGGTCTATGGCGTGACGGCCAGCCAATGTGACCTAACCTATTCTAACCTACCGTACAGAACTTATGAAGTATATAGATTTTCATGACTTTTAATTGCTTATAAGTCGTGAAAGTTCCGGTATAAATCTTTGAATGGTAATTTGGTAAAGTTACGGAACCTTAATGTCCAACTTATATATCAACTTTAACAATTTTATACCGCAACAAAAAACACCCAATATATCTTGGTAGCTATTTGTGTTGATTACAAATTATTAGACACAAAAATCTGCGACAACTTTTGACAACGCCAAGTTCATCACTCCCATGCAGATTTCGATATACAAAAGAATTTGGATTAGGCCATTCTAATATCAATGCTTATCACCTCTACGTACTCATTTTCTTCCATAAAACCAAAAAGTAAGCAATCAGATATCACAGAGAAATACCGCTGGGCAGAATTAAAAGCAGGAAGCGAAAAGCTAGTTATCTCTGCGCCATTTTATTTTTAGTAAATACTAACTCCATCTCTTTCATGCTAATGACATTCGCTAATACTTGTCATTTATGTCCTTTATAATGAGATATAAACATGTCTCCGGTAACATGTATATTTGCTTATTCCGTGCGACCCACAGCCGTACTTCCTAGTTCCTTCAGTATAATATGTAAATATAGATACATAATATATACTCATTTATAACTATATGTATATGTGGGTTGTGCATTACAGTAAATGACATGTGGTGCATAATAATGCAATTAACAAAAACACGTAACTGTCCCACAACCTTCATCACTGATACATATGTACATAGTATGTTACCCTACAAGAACAGTAACAGTCATCTAACCGGTCATAGCTGAAAAATTTCTTAAGAGCCTTGTGCAAAAACTGATGCAAACAAACGTATATATGTAACTTAATAGTAACTTACTTATATTATATTGGAAAATCCCTCCGATATTTATTTATTTTTTTAACACAAAAAGAGTAATTGTACAGGAGTACGCAACACTTTTGGCTTATCGCACAGAATATTTCCCAACTTCTCGAAACTTCTATGGTAATGTATGCATCTCTTTTCGACGTATACAAAATTTGCTTTAGAAAAATCGTAAACATTGACAGTAATTTTACTGTTGATTTGCATGTCAGTGGTGACAGTGCTTTATAATGCAGCTATTTCATTCTTACACATGTATGCAGTATAAATCGAAGATGTCTCTGTTTAACAATAACACGTCAGTTGACAAGTAATCTGTCCGTCACGACTGACATAAAAAACGTCAGAGTATTGCTGAGCCATCAGCAGTTTCTTGTAGGGTACGTACTAGTATATACAAGTGTCAATGCAGTCGCCGCCTCCCCATTAATAGCAGCATTGTTGGCATAATTGTAATTTAATATTTTAATTACATAATTTGTTAACATACGCGCATGTATTCATAAACTAGCAAAAGCAAACACTAATATGTGTGTGTGTTTTTGAGATAATAGCAACATTTGTTTACTTAATTTAATATACCGCGATGGACAAATGGAACAGACATTAAATACTTGGCTTTCAATAATGCAAATGATGTTTTGGAAATTTCTGAGTTTTATGAGCACGATTATAACATTCATAGAAGCACATTTTTTCACCAAATTCCGTATGCTTCTTCCAGTATTTCTTTAATTAACCCCTTTCAACGCGTGACATTTCTCCCAATTACTCAGCAACCTTTAGCAGAAGACGTGAAAAATAGACTTATGAGCACTTAAATTTGATAGAAGCTCAAAATTGTATGACCAACGGCATAGTCTTCTGAAGGCATTAGTCTACATATCAATCTAATATTCATCCACAGAATAATACCTTGCAAGCAATCCCCGGAATATTGATAAGACCCTTCAAGTCTTTATCGGCCACTTTCGACTTAGGTAATTAAAATGTATACACATATACTATTAAGGTTGTTGAGAATTAACCAGTGTTTACAAAAAACTCACAGAACTCAATAGATGTCTAAAATCGACGCGCTGTATACTCAAAGCATAAACTGACTCTATCTACCTATTAGAGATATCGAGAGCCTCTTTTAATATATTAATGCCAATAATAACATTGCCCTAATATTTCCGAAGTTATCGCCTTTAACCAAAGTGAATAAACGAGTGTTAACAAAACGCATTATTTGCATTATTTGACTCAAATACTTGCATTCCCAACAAAGTGGACTCTCCAAAACAGCCTTGTAAATATCATTTTCAAAAATATCATTGCAGAAATCTACGAAAAGAACAAAATTTTATTCATTCGTAAGATCTCACTCAGCTTGCATACAACTGTCAATGGTCTTTTTCCATTGAGAGAGAACAGTAAAATCAACTTAACAACATATTTTCCATACACAAGTATATAAAACCAGAAAAAGCGTTTACTTCGGTTGCACCAAAACTGTAATACCCTTCACCAATAAAATAGTTTTCGATACAAAAACTTGATTTTGATAGGACAGTTTGTATGAAAGCTATATGATATATTGGTCGGATTTGAAAAATTTCTTCGAAAATCAAAATATTGTCTTATACAATAATCCATACCAGATTTCTTGATGATATCACGTCAAATGAAAAAGATGTGTTCTTGGTGAGAACAGGACATATGCAAAATTTCAGATAGATATCTTAAAAAATTCGAGATTAGTTCGCATATATACATGTATGTATGTATTTTATTAAGATGAGGTTTGTGTAAGTCGCAGTCGTACCAGTACCGTAGTTTCCTAAGGGTTAATATTTTTATCATATAGTCGATTAGAGTCATATTTTTTGTCGCGTTTATCGATCTTAAACTTATTAATCAAACGTATACTAACAACATGGTCCAATGTCGACAAACTTGAGGAATACAACTAATTTTAATTATTTTCTAAAAAAATTCGGAAAATAACGTCACAAAGCTTAATTTTGTTTAAAAAATTCTCCATCAAATAATTTTTGCTCTCGATTTAACATTTATAAAAATAACTTTGTCCATGATCAAAAAATACATTTTAGTAATTTTTCTCTCTACACAATTTAACTGTTTTCATTCGATGTGCACCGTGAACGAAACAATTTATATTGAATTCGGATAATATTGGAAGACCGATAACTCGTTCTTGGTTACGGCTAAGTTTGATTGCTTGCTTCGTCATTTAGTATAAAGTGCGCACTGTTGCATTTTTCTAAAATCTCTAATTCGTGAAAATTCTATTTATGTCCTATCGCCACATTTTTCTACAAAACTACCTTAGTTGTTAGGCTTTATTTAATTAAATTCGCGAAATTTAGATGGGAACCAAACTATATCAAAGAACCAAATCGGAAAAAGATCTGCGCTTTCCCAGATTTTTCGGTTACGGTTTAAAATCGCGCTTTTTTGATGATACTGTTTCCAAATTAGTGATATCCGGTTCGATTACACTATAGTATTAAATTTGGTAAAAGCTTTAATATACGTCGGCTATGTATCAAGTAACAATCCAAACGATTACTGGATAAAGAATTCACATATAAAGTATGTCGTCATTCGTAGATTTAAAAGTCAATAGAACGCAATTATATGATGATAATCTTCTAATTTTGTGTACTCGCCATTAGTTTTGCGGTAATTTTGTTTCAATTTGGCGATATCAAATGTGGTTTTTCGTATCATATTTTATGGTATTTTTCCCAAAGGAATATAACGTAAACAAAGCAAAACCCCACTAAAGTCATTGGATACTCTCTGGTTTTATCAACAGCTTTCATTTGGTTAACTGCCTTACTCGCGTGCTGTCTGAAACACTATCTTAGCTCCGAAAACAATGTTACTAAAACTGGTTTTCTGCTTGATACCGTTATTGTTAAGTTTTCCGCTTGGTGTACATGGTTTCGGCATACACCTCATGGAGATTTCTGCCACGGATCATTCAAAAATCGTCTGTACACTCGCACTGCTGCAAAAATATTTTCAATACGGTGAACCACTCACTGGTTCGGTAATTTCTATCAGTTTTACATCAGCCTCGATTCAAATACAGCAAGATTTACTGAACGCTATGCACACCCAGGTTGCCATACCATGGACAGTTGTGGTAAGGAATCCACGTCAAGCAACGAATAACCCGAGATCTACTGTGATTTTGCATGAGAAGCCGCAGTGCTACTTCATTGCTATTGAGAATTTAGAAGATGGCGATTTGGAGGATGTTTTCGATGATTGGAAAACGAATATAAATTGGAATCCACTGGCACAATTCGTTGTGTATTTGGCTTCACTCGAGGAAACCGATGATGTGATGACTGAGTTAATGATTGAAATACTACTCAGTTTCATGAATAAGAAAATTTACAATGTCAATGTAATTGGCAAAAACGAAGAGAATGACTTTTACTACGGAAAGACAGTGTTTCCATATCATCCAGACAATAATTGTGGAAATCGGGTAATTGCTATAGAAACCTTGGATATGTGTGGTTATCAAGATTCAAATAAACCAAAGGACGAGTATAATTTTGATGAGGAAGACAATGGAGAGAAAATCGATTACGATGGCGAAGATGATGACGGCGGTGAACAAGATGACGATGACAATAAAAGTAATAAAGATGGAGAATTTGATAAAGGAGATAGAGATCAGCATAAAAGGGGAAATGGTGACGAGAGTGGAGATTCGGACAGAAAAGAAAAGGATGTTAGAATTACAAATGGAGAGGAAAATGATTATGGGAATAGAAATTGTGGCAGGGAAAGAGATGGAAATACTGATCAAGATACAGACGGTAGAGTTGCTGCTGGCGCTGAAATGGATACAATTAATGATAAAGAAAGCGATGTGGTTGAAAACGAAAGCAGCAATGTGGACGGAAGTGAAAGCTTAGAAGAAGAAAGCTATAAGAAACGAAATGAAGAAAGAAATATAAAAATTAATAGGTGCCAGATTGAAAACGAGTTTATTAATGAAAAAGGAAGTGAAGGTAAATATGACAATAAAAATGAAAGAGAACAAAGAGTTGTTAGTAAAAACAGTGAAGAAATGGAGGTAAACGTAGTAAAAGATGACAATATAGCGGACCATGATAATGTGGGTGAGGTAAACGGTGCATTCATAAAAAATAAGGAACTGAGCTGGAATTATGGACATGTTGGACATGGAAGCAAATCGAATTTTAAAACTGCTACACAAACCCGAGCAAAAAGCACTTCGCATACTAGGGAGAGGATGCAACAGAAACAAAATTTAAAGGTTACAAAGAAAAATGAAAATCTATTTTTACCAAAACATCAAAGACTCACCGACTACAGTCAAGAGAACACAAATGATTTTCAAACGCAGACAATCTACTTACAGGAACTATATCGAGCATCGTTTCTTGATAAGTTCCCAAAGGATCTTAGGGGTTGTCCTGTTGTGGCCGCTTTTCGTCCCTGGGAACCATATATCTTTAAAGAAACCGGCGAGTACGAGAAAAAAATAAACAGCAACCCCGGAGCTGATGAAAGCAATGAAAATTTAGCCACCGATGCGGCAGTGTATGACTTAGAAAATAAGGAAGATGTTGTTAAAAATACTTATGACTATGCTGATGCTGACGCAGAGATAGAGAATTCCTACGATGATACAGATCTGAGCGATGAACCAGCGTTGCAGTTAGATGGCATCGAGTACCAGTTGGTGCAGACAGTCGGCGAGCGTCTACATATAACTATAGACTTACAGTTAGAGAATAGCAATCTATATCATCTCTTTCAGCAACTTATTGATGGGTAGGTGTTAAATTATTGAATAAAATGTTAGATTACTTGCTTATAACTTATTTATTTACAGAGATATCGAAATGATTTTAGGTGGCATCGATGAAGACCCCAGCATCAGTCAGTTCGTCTCCAGCAGCATTGCCTATCATCAGGACGACCTTACATGGTGCGTGGCGAGAGCTAAACGCAAATATGATCTCTTAAATTTCCTGCAGAGCTTTCACATTAGCACTTGGCTCTTTACATTGGCTTTCATTCTCATATCTTCATTGAATATATACATTGTACAAAAACTGCTGAATATACGGTTGACCTATTTCGGTGGTTTCTTTGCCACTGTTGTACGCATGCTCGGCATTATACTCAGCCAGTCTACACAACTCACACGTTTACCCAATTCGCTGTATATAACCTTCGGCAGCACTTTCTTCTTGGCTATAATGTTTGTGAATGTCTATCAAAGTTTTCTGGTTAGCACCTTAACAACGCCGAAATCATCCTATCAAATCAGTCATTTGGAGGAAATTTACCGCAATCGCATGACAGTGACGGGGAGTGTGGAGAACGTGCGTCATCTTAATAAGGATGGTGAGGTCAGTGCAAGTCAAAATTCCAGCATACTTATTTATTCCTAATATATTCACTCTCTTTAGATTTTCAAGTATATCCGCGAGAAGTTTCAGATGTGCTACAACATCGAGGAGTGCCTCAATCGTGCAGCGACCGATGAAAGTCTCGCAGTCGCCGTTTCCCGTCAACATTCCTTTTACAATCCACAGATTAAACGCGACCAGCTTTACTGCTTCGATCGCAATGAGAATATCTATGTGTACTTGGTTACCTTGCTATTACCGAAAAAGTATCATTTACTACCCAAAATCAACCCTGTCATACAGCATATCATTGAATCGGGTCATATGCAGAAATGGGCGCGCGAACTCGATTTGAAACGTAGAATTCGCGAGGAAATACAGCGTGCGCAAAAAGTGCTCGTCAAGAGTTTAACAATCAAACAGATAGGTGGCAGTTTTGCTCTTCACGGTATGCTGTCCGCTGTGGCACTGCTAATATTTATCCTTGAATGTTGGATCTATTGGATGGTGGTAAAACGGCGCACTCGTTTAAGATTGGTTAAATTTTTAAACCGTAAATTTTGTTCGAGGTGAAACCAAAACCTTTTTGCAAGTTTTCTCTTAGAACTACTGGATGTTATATTACCCACAAACAGATTAACAACCATTTAATTTTAGGGCACGCCTAAGGTGACAGCCTAGAAAAAGTGATTTTCGGAATTAAACAAAAAATTACTATTTCAATTGTTTTAAAGTTTTAAGCGTATATTTTATAAATATTTTAAGAATACATAGAAAATTTTGTTTAGCTAAAATACTAGGTTCTCCACAGCTCCAGTGATTCCGGCCTTCTGTCTTAAATAATGATCCATGCCAAATTTCGTGAAGATACCTCGTCAACTGAACGAGTTTTCCATACAGGCACTTGATTCCGATCGTTCAGTTTGTATGGCAGCTATATGCTATAGTCATCCAATCTATACAATTTCTTCGGAAATTACATTGTTGCCTTAGAAAATAACTCACCAATTTTCGTGAAGATATTACATAAAATAAAAAAGTTTCTCATACAAATACTTGCTTCCGATTGTTCCAACAAATAAGCAGCTTCTTAGTGAGAAAAGGACAGGTGCAAATTTTCAGATCGTTAGCTTAAAAACTGAGGGACTAGTTTATATATATGAGTATAGACAGACGGACATGGCTAAATCAACTCAGCTCATCATGCTGATCATTTATGTATATATTTTATAGGATCTACGACGTTTCCTGCTGGGTGTTACAAACTTCGTGGCAAACTTAATGTGCGCCTGTTCAGGGTATAAAAATCTATTAGAAGATATTGTCCATACAATATCAACACTCTATAGGCTTCAAACATCTATAAAGGCCTAATAGATTACATAACTATTTGAGCTTATATAAAACTTTATTCATGGGCAGCCTTTTTTTTCCAATTGAAGAAAGGGGACGTCAATTGGTGATTTTGATCACACCGTTTTAAGTGACACAAAGAATGATCATTAATAAGGGTATTCAGACTCAACATGTTGATCTGGTAATTCGTTAGTTGATACTTCGTTAAAACACGTTACTGTGAAAATTCTTCTTGCTCTATCTCATTCGTGTGGTAAATTGTGTTTAAAACCGTTGATTAAACTTTATTAAATACTTACTTTTGAAAAATGTGTCTAAAATTATTTATTAGCGAGCAGCATATGTATTTATTCGTTGGTAATGAATCAAATGAACTTTTTAGACTAACATGACAAATGACGCAAAACGAACAGCTAATTTGATGTTACCAAGTAACGAAAAAGTTATCAAGTTTGTCACACGGATACTTTGTTACTCGGTAGAACGCTAATCTGTGAATTTTACAAATCAAAATACACGTAAAAAACTACCGAATAAGGACTTACGAATTAACAAAGCTGGTGCGAATACCCCAAATAATTGTACACGCGAACGGAATGCAATACTGAATGCAGATCCATGTTTTACTCAAAAAGACTGTGCTCCATATAAAACGTTACCAAACTATCCACTTAATTTTTAGTGAAATTAATTAGTATTACATTTAAAGCCAAGAGGTCCATGAGTACTACGGCAGTTAAAACTTCTATAAAAGAAAATTTTGAAAAGTTCATACCGTTTTAAACACAGTTCTTGGCGAAATTCGATTTTAGCATTCAACAAATGTAACATGCGAAAGAAATTCAAAGCCCAATTCTTACACACTTAGCATCAATTGATTGATCTAACATAGTGAATCGGTCGAATTTGTGCTTACTTCCACTTTGCAGAAAGGGTATGCGAAACCCAAATTAACTGATATATTTATTGTATCTGCTATCAACTTAATTTTGTTGTCAATCAAACATTGTGTGAGTTTTTGGAAGTTTTCACCCGTAGCAGCTGCTTTTGAACACACATATGGTTTCTTCTATAAGTCATATAGCACTTATCAAGCCTTTTTCTGACGTCGGCAACTTTTTCTCATAAAAAATAGTGTTTCATTCACACACGAAATTTCATTTTATTCGGTCTTTTTTTTTAAAATTAGACATCACGTCACACAAGGTGCTATATCTCTCGAACCAATTATTGAACAGCTGTGAAATTTATTCAAGTATCTTTGCAAGGTTAGGCCTAGCTATAAAATACATGCATTAAATTACACTGCGTCTTTCTTATAGAAACGATACGATTTTTTCAGGCTGCTTGGTAATAAAGGTGTAAGCTCTATCTTATGAATGTATGAAATATACTAAGTACAAAACGTATGTATGGCTGACTTTGAGAACACACCCATTATTTCTTTATTGACATTGCTTTATTTATTTATTTCAATTTCGCTCGAAATTCTATTAGCAAACATTTTTTCACACAATACTAGCATATTAATATCAATAAATTTTCAAAGCTTTAGAATGTTTTAGCATAACTGGAGCGAATATTTGTTACTGTTTTTTTTTTCAAATTGCCTTCAAAACACCTCACTTTAGTTTCCCCGGCGCTGCCCCGTACTGCATCCTCATTCATTCATCATTGTACGCACATGCCGATAACATTCACAACCACGTTATGGCATTTGCATTCGAGTATCTACTCGCACCGATCCCCACCTACCCCACCAGCAATTCCGGTATACGAAACAACTGTCAGAATGCTTGGACAGCTCCATGCGTTGTCCTTACATGCTTCCTTAGCATCCTTTGCTATCGCTCACAACTCGTAAATCTTCCAAGCAAAATGGGTAACGATGACAAAAATTTACAACAACAAGCGCAGCAATAAAGCATTTATAGTCATATACAAGTACATAGTTATGTATGGAAGTATGTCCTCAGTAATGCTGTAAGGAGGACAATGACGACATTACGCGAACGAGAACGAGAACGACACAAGGAGCAATGGAGCCATAAATACATGTGTACTCTTATATGTAAGTATATACTCGTACAAATATGCGAATGTTGTTGTGAGCCATTTTGCCGCTAGTTCCATTAATACTCGCAAAACACATAACGGCGCAATTTTCCTGCGCATACCCGCACTATATCTTCCATTCCGGTAGCGTAAAATGCGTGAAAAGGTAGATTTCAACTCCATTGTACATTTTTTAAGTCGATCAAGAGCAGAGAGCCTTTGGTATATGTGTGCATTTATGGACGCTATTTCCCTATCGCCGGAAGCTATAAGCTTGCTTTTTTCTTTTCTCTCCTTTTATCACTTTCTCTTATCACAAGTTTCGTCACAGTTTCGACAAATCTTGTAATTCACGCATTATTTTTAATGGTGGACGTAGTATTTGTAGTGCTGACAGGTGTTAGTCTGGTCTTATATTAAGAGGCACAACTATTGTGAAATTTTTGAAAAAATCAATTTTTTCATATTTTGATGTTTATACCTTTAAAAATAACCTACTAAAATTTCAAATCTATATCTTAAATATTTTTTGAGCTACAGTTATTTGAAGGATAGTCGCCCAGTTCAAAAAACTCCATCAGTTTATCTTTAAACGCGTTTTTATACCCTGAAAATTTCAAAACAATCGATACAGTAGTTTTTTTTTAATTCCCAAAAATCGACGTTTTTTAATGAAATAAATCATATTTATAATGCTGACAGCTTGCCCGGCTTCATCTCAAATTCATAAGCTTTCTTTTTAGTTTTGCTCCCCTATTCGTTTTTCATAACATAAGCTACTCCAATGGTAAACTTAAACCAGCTTGTCTATCTCCCACACCGCAACTACATACAACATAACATTCTCCAGCACTGCAGTATTTCTTGTTCACTTCGAACTCATGACTCAACCAGAAAAGCTGTCAGAAGAGGATTTCGGTAAAAAAGATGAGGCCTTTCGATAAGTTCTTAGCCCACAAATAGCATATCAGAAGTTGTGATTTATTGCTCAACACAGCCTTCTTTTATCTCGAGACCATTAACCTATTTTAATCGAAAATACATTTTCTGGACGACTCCAATATAGGCATCTCTGGTGGTGATAATCGTTAAATTTGGAAACAAAATTAAAGAGCACGGGACTAAATCTAGTAAATTTGATGGATGGGACTGCAGTTCGTAACCTAATTCGAGCAATATTGATGTAATGATGGCAGAGGAACAAGCCGATGCGTTGGATGATAGAACATTTTTTTTCTTCAAAAAATGCTCCAAGTGAAACCATGTTGAAACTCATTTAAGCTATTTTTGACGGTCGCCATCGAAGGAAAAGAGTCACCGTATACAGCATCCTAGTGATTTTTTATTTACTGCAAGATTACTTCCCCAAAAACAAAAATCGAATCATTGACTGATATTGCTCTTTGTTCATTTACTAAAATCCGCATGTACGCCCCGCATCCACATGCGGTTAAAACAAAACTTTGATTATAATTTTACAGGCCAGGAAATTCCTGTTGAGATAGTGACGTCATTATCCGAGATCTTGTAATAATATTTTTGCTTGACATGCTCGGCAGATCTTTCGAAGAAAGATATCTGTTAAATAAAATGGGCAAGGGGCTTACCGCTGTCGACATATTTAACACAAAGTAAGTAATTAAGATTTCTAATTTGTGGCGTTTAACTTTAATTCGCCTATTCTGCTACCACCCCCCTTACGGAAAGTGAAATGCACGTAAAGTGACAAACCTCACACGCAGTTGTTCAAATGCAGCAACGACTGCTAAATAGACCAGCGAATTGTTGATGAATGAGAATGTAATAAAGCATAAAAGCGGAGTGGTACCGGAAGTGTTAGCTACGGGTGGCAGCACCGGCGATACATACCCGCTTATGCAGGTGTTCACTGTCGTATGCGTGGGTGTATGTATGGGTGTAGCTACGAGTGTCTCGCATAAGCAATGACAGTGCACTTCGGATTAACGTCGTAGTCCACCCCGACGGAAACGTCAGCGGAAACAGACACGCTTGTGGACACTAAAGTGCGATACTCGTTTTAAGTGGCAGAAAAAAGTAAACCGCAACAGCTACCGGCTGTTGGTTGTCAGCAGTGAAATGCAATGAAATTTTATTTTGCTAATGGATGGCGTGATTTCGCCTTTCAACGTTAAGTGGGTATATTTCACTCTTTCTTTTTTCGATTAGAGAGGAACTTTCTACTCTTTCGTTGTTTGAGATACCTAAAGCATCAAGATCCTTCTTTTAGTTTAAATACAACTGTGACACCTACTTTTTAAAATATTTATTATGATACATATTACAAGAACAAACATGCTTACCTTTCAACTGAATACTTTCAAAGCTGAAGCTTTTAGTTCTATTCTCATAATGATCTCCAATGACATGTATGATAAATATGAGAATTTTTAAGAATATTTAAGTCTTGAAAACCCTCCAGGTCACGAACTTTAAAGAACTTCTTTTATCCGAGTGTCGTAGGAGCGAGACTTGACCTCGTTAATATGAACAAACCCCTTAAGCCTTCGCATATTTGCTATCAGCAGAATTGTTTTTAAAACAAAAAAAAGACTGTCAAAAAAGTTCAATTTATTTAAAGCAGTTGCTAAAGAGGGACTGCCTAGGAGCATATCGACCAACCAAAGATTATAAAACTTTCAAATACAGGGTAACTAACGAATAGTGCTACAAAACAAACCGTATTAACTTTTTTTCTGTGTGAGTAAGCAACCTACCTACAATTCAGGCAAGTTCAAGAGTTTTGAATCGCAACTGGAAGTTAGCAGACGGTCATTACAACGGATAATTCATGATGACTTAAACCTGTTTCCGTACAAAGTTCAAATAACAAGCCGGTTAAACCCTCTAGATTTGACTATACGCCTGGAATTTTGTCTGATGATATGTCACGCAGTTTCATCCTGGTGTATTGTCGAGCCATATTTTATATAATATATATGTATACTAATAATACGGGGTAACAGTAACTATCAATCGGCACTAAAGATGTTAATTGAGTTTTTCTACCCAGAACTGCGCCGAAGACAAATCCCTTTCAATAGTGTTTGGCTCTAGCAAGATGGAGCAAGTGCACACATAGCCAGACCATTTATTGCGAAGCTCTAACGAAAATTTGAGAAAAAATTAATTCAAATAATTTCAAGAAACTCCACTTTCCGCTGACCCCAAAGGTCACCTGACCCGACTGCACCAGACTTTTTTTATGGGTTTATGTCAATCAAGAAAATTCAGAAATCCGACTGAACTGAAGTAGTCCATTAATTCGATAATTGAGGCAATCCCGAGTTCAGGCCGTGGCTGAACATGGAGGTCATTTACGGATCATAATTTTAAAAAGTAATTAATAATATAAAATAAAATACAATTTTCTATACAATAAAAAAAATTCAATGTAATGAATTGATTAAAAAAAAACTTATTGCGATTTGTTTTTGTTGCACGATTCGTGAGCCACCCTATAATTATATAGTACAAGTATAGTATAGTTTTCAATAATTACCGGAATGATTGCAACTAATCTCAGCTCTAATAGTGGGTCGTCTTAGACTGACTATCTTCCTTGTGTAAAAAGTAAATAAATCCATACAACAAATACACATAAAATGTATATTTTCAGAACTTAAGGACTCCTTACTTATTCTCTACACGTGCCACGATTTTTGCGTTTAAGCTATACTTCAATTTCATTATATTTCATAAAATATCAATTAATTAGGCTCCTGCTAGGTATGTATGTCTGAAGTTTCCAATAACGGAATTTAATTATGTATACATACATATGTATATTCTTTTGTTAAGTTGCGCTCGCTGTTATGATTGGCGCAAAGATTTCACCAGCTGAGTCTGCAAAAACCACCGCCTGTTGCCTCACCACAAACGATAACAGAAAATCCGATGCTTATTTCTCCACTCCTCACGCCATTCGCGAGCATTTACGCATTCTCACTTGCATTTCACATATTGTTTGATATCTCAACTGCGGATTTTCACTGATTTAAGCATTTATGTATACGAAAGCAGAGGCCATTTAAAATTTTCCATTTCCCGCTGAACATCCTTCGCGGTATTTATGGGCGGCTTATTTGTGTTGTGCTTCAGTAATTGTACCTGATTCACTTTATTTGCTTGCTATTTATTGGAGACTTTATAATGGTGTAAATTTTAAATATTTCGTGATGTCTGCAGAGAAAATTATATGGGCTCTTTTCGGTAAAAAATATTTAAGACCTTGAATTCAAAGCAACAACGCCGTTCATTAAAAATATACAAGTACATATGTATGTATGAATACCTTCCGAGCTCTTATCACGTCGTAAGGTTAGCATAGGTTGTCAGGTTGTGATATTTATGAGACAAACACTAGCGATGGCAATACCAGGCAAGATATTACATGTGCACTTAATTCTGGTGGGGGATTTACAATTCATTGTGTAAAATCTCGTATCGTATACCTGCTCAGACAGCTCCATCCCCCAGTGATCATTTCACAGGCTAGAATGTCAGATATCGGTTTTCGACACAAAAAAGCGAACCTTGTGTGGTATATTTCTAGCTAGACATTGCCTGACCGGACAGCTATGTCTGGCATTCCAGGCTAGTATCCCTGCGGATACCATGATTTTGCACAGTGTTGTACAGAATGAAAACTAGATCTAAACCCATCCATCTCACACGCCTTTTTGTAACACGTTGAAACCTGCGCAACTCAGAAAATCTAAACGGTCTTTTACCTAGACTAGAATCATGATGCCTAGTGAAGCCCCTGAGGACCGCTGAAGTTTTTTGTTGGTCACTCATTGCGAGCGGATTGTGGATGAGGGGCCGTCGTAGATCTCCAAAATGACAGCTATCGTAGAACCAGTTGTGATGAGAATTATCCTAATTAAAGTTCGGCAATAGCCATTGAACAAATTGGCCTCAATAAGGCAAACTTTGTTTTAGATTTTATTATAATTTCTACTTCAACATTGAAAATATTAAACTCAATTTAGAAAACTATGAAAAGTAGTACATTTTTCATAAAAACTTTTTGAATATAGTAACATTGAAACGCAACCCTGATTTTGACATTTGCAGTTTAGTTCCTTATTTTAGTTTTGCTTATTTTACTCGTCAAATTTGTTTTCATCATATTTTTTTGCCTTACAACGTTTCAATGAACAATTATTAACTTGCTGTCATTTTCAGAAAAAGTTATAATAAATAAATGTATTTTACATATACATAAATGTTTTAAGTCAAATATAAGGTTCACATCGTTCTTTTCATCCCAGCCAGCGCTAACAAATTTGTTAACTGTAATTATTACAAAAAAAATGGAGACTTTGGACATCACGTTACAATTGGGACAGATGCTGTTGGTGCAAACAGCCAGTGAATTATTAACTGGCACATTAAATTTTGTTGATCCAAAGCGCAGGATAATTGAATTGGAGAATCCTTATGACCAGCGCTCGAATTGTCAATATAACTCGCCACAAATTTTGTCGTTTCCTCAAATTAAAAAGTTGCAGATCGTAAGAGAAGATGAACCTTCGAGTAACTCAAATAGCTGCAGTGATACGGGTACGTCACCAACGACATCAGAAAGTCACACAAGCTACAATACTGCGGCAGCGAGGACACCATCTTCATCACCAGAAAGTAAACTTGTTGCGTCCGAAGAAAGTGATATTACGCTTAGTACAACCGAGCTAGAGTTGATACATGAGCAACTAAATTCGGTGGTATGCATCACGCAGACAGATCAAAAATACCACAAAGCACTAGCTGACATTCGTGTACAACCAGTTGTTGCACTTATTATAGAGCCGGTGGACTATGGTCGCACACATCGTACATCCGTGATGGTATTAGCCACGTATCAAACCGTCTACATATTCGATATTATCGCTATGGGTAGTATCTTTCGGGAAATGAAGCAGCTACTTGAGGCGGAACGACCACGCAAAGTGGTACATTATAGTCATAAATTAGTTGATCACCTGAAAAATCGACATGGCGTTAAATTAGGTGGAATATTCGATACATTTGTAGCAGTATCTATCGTGAGAGGGATCAAAGAACCAATGACTTTAATAGAAGCTGTTGAGAAGATATTGAATATTAATCAAATATTCTTTCATTCTGAGGCAGAAGACCCGGTAATATGAAATTTGAAAATTTCTCTCTTTAATAGTAAATTTATTTAGTATAATTTTTTCAGCTACACAGTGACATATACAAACGACCGCTGATCTTAGTAATGCGTCTACTACTGGCAAAGAAAGCAATATTACAACTAAAATTACATGAACATTTACTCCATAAGCACATGCTGAAGAATTTCTACAGTCAATGTGAGATATTTTCCCAAACATTTTGTGAAAGTGAAGATGCCACCACGCCTTTGGAAATGCAACGTAAGGGTCGTGCTGGCTTTCAGCATATAAAACGTAGTGCAAAAGAATTTGAATTCAAATTCAATCAATTGGCGGAATGAAAGCGAAAACCTTTACTTGGTGTTCACTCTTTTGTATATTCGGTGTAAATACAAATTTAAGTTTGGGCGATGAACACGGTATATAACTAATTCACCATAACTAAAATTATTACATTAAAGTCGTTCACAATTTATGATTATTGGCTGTGCAAAGAAGCTTTGAAGCATTTTAATCTCAAATCTGCAATGATGCAAAATGCAAACAAAGTGCAACTAATTTATTTTATTTATAGTTGTTTACAATTAACATCTAGAACCTTATAATAACAGTCATTAAATGAAGAAATGTCAACATATAAACAAATGAACTTAATTAAAACACCATAATTAGTATAATAATATAAATTCTTAAGGTACTTATATATTAACACCACCGCAGCAAAAATTTAACGGTTAACAGGGCTACCAACATCCCGGTTTTGGACCGTCCTGAGTGTTTTTTTTTTGTTTTTTTAACACGGCCGAAAGCCTCCAATGAAGAAAGCTGTGCTAAGCGAAAAAAACTGAGGACATCCCACTTAATTTTTGCTGCAGTCACGTTAATACTAAGTACCATTATTATTTATAAAATATTACTTCATTACCGATAGATTTCATATTGAAATCATAACTTATTTACCTTAGTACAAACTTATATTATTTAGCATGTGCATTCCTTTCTTTTTTTCTGTTAATTTTAAGTTTAAAAATTGCAAGTATAATATGACTATGTTTTGATATAAATTGTAATTTGATGCTCCAAAGGTTAAACTTTGAATTTATTTTATTACATAATTAATTCTTTTCTGTTCTTTTAAACCTTCATAAATCATATTTGCTCTATATAAAAGGATACATTTATAAGAAAAGTCATCATTTTGAATTCAGTGGATTTTCCAAGTTAAGGGCAATATACTAACAGCAACCATTTTCTGATGATAATATATTTGCAAACCATTACAAATTAATAATTTTTTCAATAATAGCTGATAGATTGGAATACATCACTTCTAAAAAAAATTCAAATAGCATCCCGCGACAGTCGCATCTACGTAACTGGAAAGGACGCAGATTTTTATCCGGTCAAGAATTGTCAACTCGGCAGCATTCCTCCAAATTACTTCAGGGATGTTTCTTGATGCTATAACAACAATATAAATATAATAAATATATATATACTTATGTTACCTAAAAAATTCCTATTGGATTTTCAAAACTCTAAAAAACAGTTTGTATTATTTTTTCTCAAGACCCGAAATAAGTTTTCCAAAATACCGGCCAAGGCGATTTTGAGCTTTGCCAACAGAAAAACTCTTTTTATCCGCGAGAACTCAACTGTTTTTTTTTTTTTAATCTTTGACATTTACTGGTCTATTTTAAAACTCGCTTGAGTTTATCCGAGCCCTGTCTGTATAATTAATGTCTTGGGACAACAACCATTCCCTAAATACTAAAATTAATGACCTCCAGTCAACATCAGATATAACCGGCATGCGGGGCTGCAAATAATACATTAAAAAACTAAAATCGAGTTAAGATTTAATTAATTTTGTATTTTTTGTTTTGTTTTGTAATCTCGAAAATATTAAAGATAATTTTCAAATTTCTTATCTCAAACACCGAATTCAAAAATATAAAAAAATTAAATCCTAAGTATTTAATTAAAAATTGGCAAAACAAAATTTCGTGTTCTACGATTTTCAACCGAGTAGAGTCATCATCTTCAATAGTCTAGAACAGTGATTGGCAAACACAAAAATACACATTTAAACGATTTATGTTTTATCAATTTTTAATTCTGATCTTGGGATAAAAAATTCAAAATTGTATTTTTAATTGCAAAGTCGGATTGAATTGAAATTAAGAACTAAGTTTTTAATTTAAATTGAAAATTAAATTTTTAATTTCAATCCCTGATCTTTAAATTGAATGTTAGAATATCTACTAATTTGTTAAAAAGGAGTTTAGTTAACCACAAAGTACAAATAAATTAAATTTAAGTACAAATTTGTTTATATGAAATCATTAATGTATTTGATTTTTAAAATATGGAATATATTATATTCATGTCATTCGAATGAAGAATATTTGAGTTGAAGTTACATTATAATTACGCATATAACTGAAAATATGTAAATAAAAATTATACATTTTTCCACAATCGAACCATGTTTGAATTAAATAAATTTTGTAACGTAATCGCAAATGTTTGAGTTTTTTTTTTTGGTCTTTTTGCCGGAGGATACCATCAGCATTTCAGCTTACTTCCTTCTCTCAATGCAGCGTCTTAATAAATCAAAAGTTTTTGATACATTTTATAACTTCAAGAAATAATTGGGAATATATGCATATATATGTATATACATATATCTATACGAGTATATGTATACACATATATGTATTGTATTTCCTTTAACTACGGTTGAAGCGTAGGGCCAATTGGGAATATACACATTTAAAACACAATTTAATCCAAGATCCAACTGTCTTTGGGGAATTGATTACTTAATTCAGTATTTTTATAATACATTGGTGTTGGCCGGATATAGACACATCAGTTTATAAAACCGGATCTAGATTTATACCTATGTGTATGTAACATATATAAGTTTCGGAAACAATTTTAGTGCTAAGCAAACAGCATGAGATATCTTACCTATAACTAATTACTTATGAATGTTCAATAGAGAAAATAATTCCTTGCTGATTACTCTAACTGCAACTAATGGAATAATTGATCAATTATTGATGATTATTGCAGGTTTAAATAATGGAGATCGATTAAACTAATCATTTTTGATTTTTCGTAAAGCAGTAAACATATTATATATTAATAAACGTTGTACTTCGGCAATCTACATTCTTAATACAAATATGTTTCTAAAAATTACATTTTGACTTTCTTATAACATTTAAATCAATTCAAACTATGAAACTTTTAATAGGTATACAATAGCCACTGAAGGTGGCATGTCAGATATTTGAGCCAAAAACAGTACTGAGTAGCTTATTTATGACATGCTATGCAACCCTTTTTAATTTTTATACTTTCGCAACATTTCGCTACAGAGTATAATAGTTTTGTTAGCCTAACTCTTGTTTGTATTACCTAAAACTAGACGAAATAGGTATGGAGATATATATAGTATATAAATTATAAGGATGACGAGACGAGTTGAATTCCGTGTTACAGTCTTACTTTCCATATATAAAAAACTTACTTTCCATATGAATAAAAGAACAAGATCATGAACATCTTCTGAGGTATGCCATTCACGTACAAAAAGAGTCGGAATTGAATTATAGCACATGTCAGTGTCTAAAGCTGATTTGATACCGAAAATATCGGTAAAACTCTTGGATATATTATTGAAATTCAGAGAAAATCTTTTCTGACATAGTGTGCCCTTGAGTCTAATAAGGGTAAACTATGGTCAATACTTACATAAGCCCCCATGTACCTAATATTAAAATGTTTCTATATTGTTAATATACGCACTCAAATTATATCCACCCATTTTCCCTTTCCATTTGACTTTCAATCGTTTAAGTTGGTCAAAATGTAATATTTTTATGAAATTAAGTGGATTTCTTTAATATAAATATTTCGAACAAACAAAATGTAGTTATGAAATTAATAAGTCTACGACCTATAATATACAGAAGTTAATAAGATACCAAATTTGATTGTAATTCATTCGGATTTTTCGGATAAAGCATATTCAACTCTAACGCAACATTTTAAATACGAAGTCACGCAACAACTGAAAATATTTCTTCCCTTTGCACTTGGTAAATTGCGAAAGTATAAGATGTTCGGTTACACCCGAGCTTAACGCCTCATTACTTCTTGGCAAATGTTTTTATGCAATTCCTCTATTGATAGGATTTCGTGTTTGTTTATTTACCTTTATCGCCGGAATTATTTTTCCAAAGGTGATTGAATTAAAGCATAGTTGTGTTTGTTTAAACATATAATATTTTTTGTGCATTCAAGAGCCAAGAATATGAATGGACTACTTGGCATTACAGAAATTTTCGATTCATTGGATAATGTTTATCTGCTGAGCACTGTGACGATGCTAGCTGCCGTTATACTAGCATTTTACTTTTCCAATTTGGTGAAGGACATTGGGGTGATTATTATTACGCATACTTTTATTGGAAATTAACTTATTCAATGAAATAGTTGTATGGCGCACGGTCGGATCGTGAAGTGGAAGAGCAACCGAATTTGCTGGCAGCTGATAGCGACTTATATGAGTGTAGTGACGAAGAAGAAGTGGACACCGATAATCCGTTGGGTGATGGTTTGGTGGGTAAAATCAAATCAGCGCGCCTCAAAGAGTTGGAAGCACAATTGACACATGACCAGTTGGAGGAAGAACGCAAGTGAGTGTTTTAATAAGTAAACCGATAATTGATGGTTATAAGAACATAATATTGTAGAATCGAACGAGAACAACTTACGGCGATTTTTGAACTATTAAAAAAGCAGGAGGCCGATCTAAATACGAAAGAAATCGATGAGCGAGAATTAGTTGCTCAACTCAATTTGTATCGCTGATGCAAAAACGAAATTTCGCCGTTTTTAGACAGCACCTTGTACCTACTGTCAAGGGTGAGCAGCAATAAATAAATATAAGCAGTGTTTATCTAGTCTAATGTTCGTTAAATGACATTGTGTTTAGTATAATTGTATGGTAAAATTGGCAACTTTGAATAAAAATAAGATTTAATTACTTTATATATATTTTTTAAATTTATTTTATTGCACCGTGGCATTTATAGAAACTATGCTTTAGTAATTACAGGGTAAATAACTAAGCTAAACATTTTATATTGAAGCTTTCACAGCAAGCGTAAAACTTTCATCCAGCAGTAAGCAACGCTTTCCCACATAATCTGTGTTCACCTCCCAAAATGACGCGTTGTCATCAGCCACCTCAATGTCATCTTCGTCGTCCACCCAACGCTGCTCATCGGCGAACACAGCAAACGGCTGCGCATCTGTTTCAATCAACGCGAACTCGGCAATGCTGCGGACCTGTTGTGGCTTCGCTATAATGTCGACAAAAGCGTGTTGTGCTGCCTGCACTCCCAGACATGTGGAACTTTCATAAAGATTTCGTAATTGTATGAAGTGTTGGCCGGCCACCAAACGTTGCGTCTCGTCTTGGCCGAAGAGTTTGACTTGTGCGGCCCAATTCAATACGACTGTGGTGTGTGGATCTGTATTCATTATAGTGCTGTTGAATTCATCTGTATTGATGTTGGTGTTGAAGTATAAAGTCTCATGTTTTGCCAAAAAGCCGTACATTTCGTGAACAGAGGGAATGTGTGTGTGTGCTTTATCAGCATGAATAGAGGGTATAACATTGACAAATGAAACGCGTTCATAAAGCAATTTAGCGGGTGAAGACGTGAATTTGTTTTTGTTGCGTTCAAGGCGGCATTGGAAATTCATTGACTTGCCCATCGGTAGAAAGCGTGCTGAAATGACAAAATAACAATAACTGTAAATCAAGAAGTTTTCCATAGAAGATCGTTTAGTTTGTATGATAGCTCTGGGCTAACCAACTTACCGCCATCGCTGCCAGTAGAAATGCCCATTTGATTGGTAACTATAATTAAAATTTTACACATCTATTAACATCGTACTTTCGAAACAAATGATAACTGTGCAACTTACTAAAGAGCTTATTGCTGTTCATATTATGGTCCGCGCTATAGACTCCAATCGAGCTAATATACATATCGCTTGCAGCAAAGCTCTTTGCGCTACTCTCATTCTTGACCGCAACATCAAGACCCAGCTCGCCCGACAACGTGTTGCTTATCACACATGTCACTGCAGCGTGTAGACAGTCATGCACGTGAAACTGCCAATTGTGACGCACCAGACGATATTTAATGGACCCGCTAGTGCCGTCAGGCAAACTATAGAAGAAGAGTAGACGCAATGTGAAATCGCCCTTCTGGTAAGGCGCCTGTATGTGCATCGGCACAGTTGTGCACTCTTGTGGTTTCAAACTAACGGAATTTTCATTTTTCAGCAAGCGGAATACACGTTGACGTCGCAGCTCACGATCTTTCGATAACTTTTCGTTCGAGAGGTCTTTAACAGCTGTAAGGTATTAATTATAGTAATTAAAATTATTACTAAAATTAAATCAAGTGTAGAAGCGTTACATTTCAATATAGATAACGGTACTTCCGTATCCACATCTGTCAAAGTCAGCCAGCGCGGTTGATCACAACAAAGGAAAACATCTTCGATCGGCACAATGCCGGAGTTTCGCAGGCTCACCACTACAGGCAGTATCTCACCGGCTATTAGATTTGTTGGCAGCTGCGTGAAGCTAACCGATATGGCAGGCACAGCCGGTGTCACTTTAATGCTCATTTTATTATCCATTAGCATTTGTGTGGTTTGTTTGCCTTTCACCTTGACTTGTGGCGTTTCGAATTTTAGCATGCCTTGCAAACAGGCAGTGGGCTCCGCTGTGAGCACCACCTCGCCCACTACGCCAATTATATTCAAAAGTCCCGTTAATTTCGGTGTAATTTTAAAGTAAATCGTATGTTCGCAACGCTCATCCAACACCACGGAGGGTACGCAATTGGTTTTGATTGCGGCGCTCACAGCAGCTTTACCTAAGGTGAAAGAAAATACAGTTATCAAGAGCTATTCACAAATATTTAAAATCTTAATTACTCGAACTCTCCTCATTGTGTGTGTATAGCGATTCATTCGAAAGCATTTCACCATTATCTAGCTGCAGTTGCCAGAGCAAGTCGATGCCATTTAAGGTGATGTTGCATTTCACAGTGTTAAATACCGTTACAGATAACTCAATCGGTTCTGGAATACAAAAAGAAAAAAGAAAATTTAAAATACAACTAATTTAAAACACATCACAGCTCTATATTGCTCACCGCCTTGCACCGCCAGTGGATTTTCCAAAGCTGGACACTCTTTAGAGAAAAGAAATCGTGTTGGTTTGAAGACCAAAGCTTTTTTAGGATCCACTGTGGTCACAAGCATCTCTTCCATTTTATGCCAAATCGGTTCATCGGCAAAATTTGACTGCAACATACAAATATGTAACTTTAAAATTATATATTCTAGCAATAGTGTCTGCGGATCAAACCTTTATGTCGATACCGCTGGCGGCTACATATTGCCCGCTAACCATAGTGCTGGGTGAGGAAAGTAATACGCGTACGGAGCTTTGAGCCACCTGAGGGAGCGCCAGCGCAAGTAGACCCAATTCCGAATTCCGCTTGATGAGTTCCTAGGAAGTAGGTAAATCTTAAAATAAGTGAGAAAGAGCTAAACAGGTGGAACTTTTTTAAATGCTTATTTGTAAGAGATTGCGCATATATTGACAGATAGCTGCAAGGGCACGAATCTTCGTTAGCCATTTAAAATACTAGCATTTTATAACATATATACAACTCTGATGGTAGGTAGAAGACGATCGGAGTATTTGGTATATGAGTGCTGGGAGAAGCCAAACTTTTACTCAAAAATTACAGACCGCTTAAAATTATCACCTAATTTCAAACTCAGTTATTGAATGACATATCTGGCAATAATAATAACAATGTAACGGATATTATACCATTTTTTTAAGAGCCTAGGATTTGTTGTCATTCACAATCCGTTAGGAGTGACATTTTCACTTAATTTCTTTAAGATAACTTAGATATCAACCGCTTTATGTGGTTTGAAGTCAACGAGGGGACAGGAGTTGATCCATTGGGTATATGGGACCTAGAAAGGTATAGATGGATTTCATCCAAGTTAGTTATCACACGTCTTCACGCTAAATGGAAGCTTTTGATTCAGTTACATATATTCAATAAACTGGTTTTGCCCAAAGGGAAAGTGAAGTTAAATTATTTGGTTTCATGGGGTACAGAAAGAGGTGATTAGTGTCATGCGGGGACTCATTGCATGCAGGGCATACGTTTTTTATGACAGGGCCTATTCTGGATAAGCAGAAATTTAACCTGTAAAAATACCCATGTTAATAGCTCTACTGTGAATGGCGACACGTTGGCGGCTTATGAGGCGCCTCCATTTATAATAGATTCGAACAATGCCGTTATTTGTAGATGCAACGAACCAAACAATTTTCTTCCGACATTTACGCCATTTTGCTGCACGTCACCTTAGCTCTCGTTTATTTTTCAGTTTTATTTTGCAAGGCCACAGAAATGTAAAAAATAAAAAAATAAAAGGTCAGCCTACCGTGTGCATTTGTATGTACTCCTTGAGGAAAATAATTTGCTGTTGTGCGCTCTGCTGACTGGCTGGATGCAGCAAAAGCGAGTATGAGCTACTCGCCTCTTCAAGTCTCTTCAGTGCGCAAGCTTGTTTAGCCATTGTATATTGTATGTGATCTTCAGCCAAACTCCAGCCGCGACTCTCGAACACTTGGTACGCCTGCTGATAGCAGCGATGTGCATGCTTTCTTTGACCAGCACGTGAGTAGCGATTGCCCGAGAGCACAATGTTGAAAGCATACTTCCGATACATGGAGGGATGCGATGCCAAATAACAGTATGAAGCTTGCTCCAAAAGCAAAGCTGAACGTAAGTCGGCGTCTTCACTAGTCATGCGTATAAGCTGATTGGCCGCTTCACCGTACATGCGCGATGTGCGTAGACATTCCATGCTCAGCAATGTGGCGCGCGTAGCAAATTGCTGCAATCTTTTGGGTGTAAATATTACACATTAATTTCATTTATATAAAGAAATGTTTGAGTGTTTACTTGCAAACATTTAGATAGGTTTTAATGGCTTCCTCCATGTAGTCAAAAGTTTTGCGATACGCTGTGCCCAGCATAAACGCGGAAACGGCAGCCATTTCCAGCGCACCTGCATAATATTGCCAAGCGGAATCAGCGTCGAAATCACGTTTAGCCTGGTGGTAAGCCTATGAAGAAAATTTAATTACGCAGTGTGTAGTTACAAAACTGATTACTAAGTTATTGCAAGAAGTACTCACCTGAAACGCGAGGTTATAGTGCCCGAACATGAAGTAGAGATCGCCAAGTTTACGCGTTTGCAATTCCGACGATTCGTGAGTATAGCTGTGGAAAATTATAAAATAAAAAATAACTACACTGACACACACACGGTTCATACTCACATGACAGCGTTTTGATTAGTAGCATTCGTTGCCGGTTTGCTGCTAAATAAACGTTTGGTAGCACTTAGTAAGGACTTGCTAACACCTTTTTTGTTTGTAATCTAAAAAGTTACATTAAAAATTAAAAAATATATACACAATATTTATCTAAACAATGTTACCGCTTCTGCGAGTACAGCCACCATTTGCTCGGCGTAAGGTATTAAGGCGCGTACCGTATAATCCTGTACGAAATGACGTAAATTCTCAACATCCATAGCATTCAAACAGCCACCATGTCCTGTTGCGTCGCCGTCTGGTTCAGTCGTCCAAACATTAGCGTTTATGTTCTGCGAAGCTATGCTTTCGCTACTGACGGAAAACTTCGAGCTCTGACGGCAAATAGAAATATAGAAAAAATTAATATAAAAACAAAAAAAAACTACAAACTCACAATAGCTTCAGTGGCATTTTCTTGCACCGGACTCAAGGGATGTATAATGGCTATATCACTGCTGCTGTCAGTGGTGGACATTGCATCGCTGAGCATTTGAATGTTTGGCATTGAGATCATGGACATAGTATCTTGTGGCGTTTTAGAACC